GAGCGGGATGATGAGGAGGCAGTGGACAAAGTGGATATACCTGTTATGCTTTCGCTAATACATAGTCGAGGCATGGGCCGTCATCAGGATGGGCCGGAAGAGGGTGGGGATACAGTGGAAATGCTAGAAGGACCGGTGAGGGTGGATGTCTCTTGGCCGGATGTGGAAGAATTATGGCGATATGACATCCACTTACCACCTCTTGAGCCCCTCACATAGCTCATTACCACCATTTCTGCCCCACACATAGCTCATCTTCACCACTCCAGTCACACACACACCTCATTTCCAGCACCCCAGCCCCATTCAAAACTCATCATCACCACTCCGCTCTCTCACACAGCTCGTCTTCACCACCACTCTGCTCCACACACCCCTCACTACCACCATCCCAGCCACACACACCTCATTTCCACCACACCAGCCCTATTCATAGCTCATTGTAACCACTCAGCCCCTCACACAGCTCATCTTCACCACAGCTGCCCCATACACATTTCATTACCATCACTACTGCCCCACACACATCCACTTACCACCTCTTGAGCCCCTCACATAGCTCATTACCACCATTACTGCCCCACACACACCTCATCTCCACCACTCCAGCCTCATTCATAGCTCATTATCACGTTGATGCACATGGCAAGTGTGGTTTGCTGTACCACGGCACACAATCACTCGCTTATGCCCTGATGCTGATTCATTGGGGACTTGCAGGAGAGCAATCTGCCATTTCCACCATCAAGAGCAAGGAGCAGCGACGGTGGTCAAAACGTACCTCAAAGAAGTGGGCACGTGGGGAAGGTGCCAATGCGACCCTTGCTGGAGAGAGCGATGGAAGCAAAAAGCCGGTGTTCACTCTTGGTCAACGCTTCAGCGTGCATTTCAAGCACTGCATGATGCGGAATGCCACCAAAGCCAGTGAGGGAGATCCAATGACGCCAGAGCAGGTGTCTGAGGAGTTGGGGCTTGCTGCAGATCATTGGGCAGGTGACCATACACGCTGCGCACGTGTGGGAACAATGCCTCCACGCTGTATTTCTGAAGGGTGGGGGGAAGAGAGTGCTGTATACGCTTTTGGATCACCAACCCACTTGGCTGTTCGTGAGTGGTTCAGAACACGGCTAGGGCCAACTCAGGTAGCATCATTGACTCTTGGCGCAAACAGCTCACTGAACGAGTCCTTCCACCCACTTGTTTGCAAGTATGCTCCCAAGTGCCTGCGGTTCAGAGGCAGTATGGAGGCAGCATAGCCTTGGCCGTGCTGCATTGGAACAGCTGCATGGACCGGCTTGTCAAGGCATACCGCATCCGGGTGCGGAAATTGACGCGTGTGCAGAGGGGCTGAAAGGAAAGGATATTAGGACCTATGGACTGGTCATGGGTGGACAACATTATGCGGGAATGGTTGGCACAAGGTGCAGCGGATGTTGGGGAGTCTGAGAGGAACGGAGAGGGAGAGGGTGTCGATGGTGTTGACTTGGAGGAACGAAGTGAGCACACCCGTGCGCAGCGCCAACGCACCTTGACCGGACCCTCCAGCACCGTTTCAGTTGAGCCTGAAGGCAGCATCCCGATCATGACCACTGACCTCGTATTTTCGCCTGGATGCCAGGGCAGCACGACTCGGTCTGGTGCACCCAAACACAAGAAGCGACCTACACCAGCCCGTCGCTGCTTGCTGGGTTCGTTGTCGTGCTTCCAAAACGCATTTGCTAATTCCTGTGCCACGTCAAGTAGTGGCACAACTTATGTGCATCAATGCCTTGCATCGAGCCCTCTTTGTTGCTGTAAACCCACATGCCATCTGCCACTTGCTGGGCCAGTTGATCAGTACCACATATGATACGCTAATGCTCCATCTGTCCTTTCCCCACACCACTCCTGCAGGGGAATTGCCAACCAATCTGCGCTGATGCAAGCGGCACGAAATGGCGGTGCGGGCGTAAATGCAAGTCTCATCAAGCGTAGGAGGGTTCTCCGACCGTGGCTGGTGAGCAAACCTTGCCACACCAGTATGTGGGCTTGGAGCTGAGTGGTAAGAAGGACCATGGCTGGTGGTAAGCACATTTTTTTGTGGGAGGGCTTGTGTGTGGTGTTATTGCCTTGTACACATTTCAGCAACCGGGTGCTGTAACCATTATATGTACAACACCCCTCATTCAACACCCGCAGATTCGTCCTTCTTTTGCCCACTCACTCCCCCCTTCCCACGCATGGCTCCTTTCATCCGTGCTGTTGCCGGAATCTCATTTCAACCTTGACCTCCCATTGAGCGTGAGGCTTCCCAGTATCGCCCAAGGGAAGAAGAAGCCCTCCTTGTGAAATAGGCGTGGGGATATTTAGAAGTCTATCTCAATCAATCCGGCATCATGTGCCGCGGTTTTCGGTTGCCCTGCGTACTGAACATTTCGATAACTCGTCATGTAACTCTAACAGCATCCCGCAGGACATGGACGGTTGTGAGGCAAGGAACAGCTATGTGCTCGCTGCAGCTCTTTTTACCCATTTCAAAAGAGGCACCCGTATCTTGATTGAGTGGACTATAATATCGTGTCGTGCTATGGCACAGTTGGTACTCATCATACAATACTCTTGCCTCAACACAAGTCTCACGCAATAGAGTAGTTTTGTAGCCTGTTGAAGTAGTATGGGATCTACTGCTTGGCATGACTAATTATGTAGGGTGTTCAGGGTGTAGCAGGTCCACGTGATGCTCAAGAAATTCGCTACTATTGGACACGTGAATGCTGGAGCCTCTGCAATGCAGACATGGGCAGGAAGGACATGGAAGATGACAAATGTTATAAGCAGGCATATGGGGAACCCAATCACAGGGAAGAAGGGGAAAATAACAACATGGCAGAGCAGTGGGGGAATTAGAAAGAGTGGGGAACCAGCGAAATTGCTCATTGATGGAGGAGTGAGATGGGCCTAGTGGGGAGAAGGAGGCATGAATTCAGCTCAAAACTGACTGCAGTCAAAATGCAAGAGATTCTGGTGGTGAGGCAGGGAGAGAGGTATAAGTGTATGATGGGCAAATAGGCAGCTGTAGACTCGAGTGGAGTGGAGTAGCCATTCTGTGCATCAGCAGCAGAGGTGGCGGAAGGAAGGAAACAGCTGAGCCTCCACGGGGTGGATGGCATGCTGCTGCCAACGAGGCGTCATGTGGAACTGGCATGCAGGTTTGGGGCATGGAGAATGAGGCATGGGCATGGAAGCATGAGAGACATGCATGGGCGAGCCCGTGAAAGCCTAGATGCACGCATTCACATAAACCTTAGCTTGTAGGTGCAAGCGCTTCAAAGGGTTTCTCACCGCCCCCCTTTCAATAGAACCACTCTCATCCTCTAACTTGACCTCATGCAAGCAGCAGTGACGAAATAACTTGGCGCACAACACACAGAACACACCCGGTGCAGACTCAAGCCAACTCTTGAGACGCATCCCAAGATCTCTATGCCTCCCACCAACCGCACCTCATGGAAGCAGGTGTGGCAGAAGAAGTCAGCGCACAACAAACAGACAAGGGGGAGGAGCTGGAAGGGGATACAGTTGAAGAACGGGGGGAGGGGAGAATGGAAAGGTGAGATGAGTGCATAGAATAGAAGTCTGGGCAAATGGGGTTCAGCAGCGGGACACAGCAGAAGGGCAAACGGTGAGGAGAGGGGAGCGGGGGTTGGTGTATGGGTGGCACCATAGAATCTCACACTGTCATTTCACCTGACAGGTGGAGACCACCTGAGGTCAGGCTGTCACCTGAAAGTATCTTCTCCCCGTATAGTTCCTCCTCTGCTGCCCACAGCATCCGCAGACACAACAGGACACATGCACCAATGCAGGAGAGGGGAGAGGAAGAGGGGGTAAGAAGGGGGGAAGTAGGGGTAAGACCATCTGCCGTGTTGGGCCAGTGTTGTAAGACCATCTGAGGAACAACACAGGCACAACAGGGTGGCCAGGGTAAGAAGTCCCCCTGTTAGATAGACAGGAAGCTTCACAAAAGAGGGTGGGTATGTGTCCCAGCCCAGCAGCAGTGTGGTGCAGCTCTCACCTGTGCCTCGTAGAACTCCACTTCATCATCCCACTCCTCATCCTCCTCCTCCAACTCTTCCTCCTTCTCCCACCCTTCCCCTTACCCCTCACCTCCCTCACTCTCACTCCCTTGTGTCATCCTTCCCTCCTCCCCTCCCTCCCTGCTTCCATACCACCCGCTGTCATTCCCTCCCTCTTGCCATGAGCTTCAGGTTAGGAGGCAGGTTTGGGAACAGGCTCGGCAGCAGGGTCAGGAGAAGCGAGGGGCCTTGGAACAGGGACTTGGTGGCTTGTTCTTGTCGGTGATTGCAATGACCTGATGACAGGCAGAGAAGGGAGGGGGGTGGCCGAAAGGGAGAGGAGAGGAGAGGAAGAAAGGGCCGGATGGAAGGGCTTTGGGACATGTGGCACGTGCTTGTCTGTGATTGCAATAATTGCCTGATAGGGGAGGGGGAGGAATAGAGAGGAGTGGCAAGAAAAACGGAATTGATTTTCTGAGAGAACGATTGGAAGCCCTTGGGTGGGAAGAAGAGAGCAGCGTGCAAAGAGTGTGGGGGAGCCCGGGTGAGGTGAGGAAGCAAGAGTGTGGGGTAGAGGGAGAGGGGGCATCGCCTGGGGTAGGAAGGGGGACAGAGGTGGGGAGAGTAGGGAGGGTGGGGACGGGGAAAGTGTGGGAGGGGGTTGAGGCGGGGGGAGATGGGGAGAGATGGGTTTCGAGGGTGCGTGAGGAGGCCCTCCCTCTACGGCTTGTCCTAATAGGGCGTTGATGATAGCGGATGGGGGGGAGAAATGTGGATGAGGTTGGCAGCGGGCCGGCAGTGGGTGGGGGGAGGAGGAGGAGGAGAGAGGGGGGAGATGTGGGGGAGACACGAGCCGATGTGGGAATACGAGGTTCCTTAGACCTCACGGCGAGAGAGGCGAGCAGGAGGTTATGGGGAGTAGGGGAGAGGCGGAGGAGGAGGGGATTAAGGAGGGGGAGGGGAGAGAGGTTGGCGACTGACAGTGCCGCCCTGGCCAGGCTCCGTGGCATCCCAGTTGGTGCGCCTGTTGGCATAGCGCTGCCCGTGCTTGAACTCCACAGAGCCATTCCTCTTGATGTCGAAACTCAAAAAGGCCGGTGACGGGATTATTGGTGCGTCCCCGCCATGATGGCACGGGCCGGACGAGTAATAACACTCGGCTGAACTTGCTGCCTGTGTCGGTGCGCTCGAGACATGACACCGCGCGCTTGAGACATGACACTAAGCCTTTTCCAGCTTTCTCCCCACTCATTATGCGAAGGGGCATTTTTTCGCATACCCGTCGCCAGCTGCCAGAAACCTATGTCTGCTGGTTACCCAGTGTACACTGGGTAACTCAGCGTTTCAAGCATATATACCTCGAATTTGAGCAGCGATATCTGCACCGCGGCTTTACGCCACACCTACCCTACTGCGTGGTGTGCGCCCGCCATCCACTCGCCCGCCTCCTGCTGACCCACCCTGCCCGCTGCTCACCCACCCTGCTGCTGGGGAGGGAGGAGGGGTGAGAGGAGGACGGGAGGGGGAAAGGAGGAGGAGAGGAGGTGAGGAGGTGAGTGGGAGCCTGGGTGCAGCGGAGTAGGGGGGGAAGAGCCAAGGGCGGTTGTGAGGTTTGGGGGTTCGTTTTATGCATGGCGTCCCCTTCTACACCCTGTGATGGTGTCATTGAGTTGCGTAGGTACAACGCAACTCATGTGCGCGTCATGACTGCTCCCAAAAGGCGCTGCTGCCAATGAGCCCGAGCGCAGTGTGACAGACCAACCAACCATACCCGTCAGGGCGAGGTAGGGATCTCACGGACGTTGGGCGATGGACACGCCATCATGGCAGCAGTGAGCAGAGAGCGCACTGCTACCCTGGCCTGAAGGCGCCGATATGAGCTGCGCACTCATTGCCACATGTGCGTAAAACACGCGCAAGTGCCGCCAGATCGCCACTCGTCTGGGTGGGGAGGAGAGGCGAGAGGGGGAGAGTGGGGGGAGGAGGATGGAAAGGGGGGATGGAAGGAGAGAAAGTTTGCTACACCCCTCACACGAGGGGCCAGGCCCGGACTGGACCTGGATGGCGAGGACCGTGGCACGGGAGCGGGACAGCAGTGAACGTTGGAGAGGGGCAGCCCACACGGAGGCGCGGAAAGGAGAGAAGAATACAGAGAGCCTATGGGACGTAGGGGACGCAAGGCTATGAGAGGATGCGGCGGAACGAAGAGGGAAGGGGAGAGAAGGGAAATGAGGTGAGGAGAGGGGAGGTGCGAAGGGAAGAATAGGGTGGCGACGGAAGGAGCTTTGATCTCGATGGCGCAAAAGGGACGCCACTTTGCTGCCCACGGACGGGCGGCGGGGAAGGGTGGGGAGGGGAAATGGGGACAGTGGGGAGAGAGTGAGCAGGAAGCGAAGGCGACGGGAAGGGGAAGTGGAGGGGGCGGGAGGGGGAAGTGGCGGCGATGGGAGGGGGAAGTGGAGGCGACGGGAGCGGGAGGGGGAAGTGGCGGCGACGGGAGGGGGAAGTGGCGGCGATGGGAGGGGGAAGTGGAGGCGACGGGAGCGGGAGGGGGAAGTGGCGGCGATGGGAGGGGGAAGTGGAGGCGACGGGATGGGGAAGTGGAGGCGACGGGAGGGGGAAGTGGAGGCGACGGGAGGGGGAAGTGGAGGCGAAGGGAGGGAGAAGTGGAGGCGACGGGAGGGGGAAGTGGAGGCGACGGGAGGGGGAAGTGGAGGCGACGGGAGGGAGAAGTGGAGGCGACGGGAGGGGGAAGTTGAGGCGATGGGAGGGGGAAGTGGAGGCGACGGGAGGGGGAAGTTCAGGCGACGGGAAAGTACAGGGAACATCGCATACTTTGCATTGGGTACTTGTTTGCGCAGTGATAATTTCAAACACGGACCGTAAACCAAAGGGCTGCGCGGAATTCCGCAGAGTCGCTCACGCGAATCGAATGACGACACGGCTTTTTTCCGGTCCGAGGCGTAGAGAGCGACGTGGATGCGCGATGAAACCCCACGCGATCTCTGTCTACGCCATGAGACGCTGCGCGTCGAGGCGCACGGCGTCGAAACGCTGCGCGAGGTGACGCAGCGCGATGTACGAAGCTGCGAGCAGCTTCGTCGACATGGCAATTCGACGGAGTGCCGGCATGGTTGGGACTACTATCTAAACGACCTTCGGGCATACGACGAACGCGACCATCGCCGTCGCATCGTCTGGATGTGCGCTCTACTCGGAGGTGCCAGAAACAGGCAATAGCACCAGTACCAACAATGCCCCTATTTTCCGCTGCTAGCGCCCCATAGTTCATCGTATATGCTACCGATTGAGACCAGGCGTGCTATGGCCGTTCCTACTGTGCGTTCGAGTTGTGCGTGGGCTTTTTTGTTAGTGCGGCGGGTACTTGTTTATGTCCAAGAGTCCCAAATTGCACACCCTCGTTTTCAAGTTTTTGGGTGTGTGCTGGTTCTGCCGAACCCTGGTTTGCGACTGAAGAGAATTGTGTTCAATCTCATTGGTTCACAACATGGGGGTGGTCAACTCGGCTCACAGCCTGAGTTGTGTCGCGCGGACCTCTGATCCCAGAACTTGGTAACCCGAAAGTCAGTGGAACAAGTTTTAAAATCTTGAACTGCGCGGCTTGCAATTTGGGCCGCGGGCTTTAAGCAGATCACCCCAGCGTGGGATCTGAGTGGAGTCAGGAAACTATGTACGCCAGGCGTCAGTCAGGTGGCCAAAACAGCGCTGCGTGGCGTGCGGCCCTCCGCACGTCTCCCCACTGCGGTCGCCGGTGCGGAGAACGTAAGCGCAGGGACCAGCACCCCCAGACCTCCTACGCCCAGCGTACCACTCACGAAGCTGCTGGGGCGACAGAGTCTCACGAGGGCACTGCTGCTGCTGGCGCTGACCACCGCCAAAGCCTCCCCGCTGCACAGTGCCACCCCGACCAGCACCACCGCCGCCGCCACCCCCACCGCCACCGCCGCCGCCACCCCCACTGCCACTGCCTCCGCCGCCTCCACCTCCACCACCCCCACCTCCACCCCCACCCCCTCTGCCGCCTCCACCACCACCACCGCCGCCCCCGCCAGCACCCTTGCCCCCCTTGCTCCTGCCGCTGCGGCGCCTCCCACTAGGAGCAGACGCAGCGCCGACCGACTCGGTGCCAACGAGGTTGACAGCAGCAGCAGAGGCAACAGAGGGCAAAAGAGGGACGGGGGAGCACCCCTCAAAGAAAGGGGCACGAGGGTCACCATGAGAGGCCCCTACAACGACTATACTCTTCTCTGCTGCAAGGAGGCGCTTCTCGAGGAGGTCAACGGTAAGCGTGGTGGGGCAAAGGGAGAGGAAGTGGTCCCTGACCGAGCGAAGGGAGTCAGGGAGCCGGGTGACGAGGTAGTAGAGAGTGATGTACATAGGGGGGGGGTTCGAGGTGCAGAACTCGGCAGGAAGCGCAGCGCGGTAGCGGGTGTCACTAGTGCGGAGGTGCGTAATGAGGTCAGCGACTGTGGCAAAAGCAGCTAGGTCAGGGAACAGGTACGGCAGTATGAGGCGACTAAGGGCAGTAGTGGCAGGGGAGGAGTAGCGCGCAACAACAGCGTCGTACAGAGTCCTAGCGGTCTTGTACTGGCTAAAGTGCGCGCGCTCAGCAGACGGCAGGTGGCTGCGAATAGCAAGACGGGCAGCAGCATCGCGCGTGGTCCACTGCGAGCGAACAGTACTGTCAGCATCGGCAGTAGGTGCACCAGAGGCGCCAGACGTGAGATAAAAAAGAGAGACCCCGTCCTTGCTATCGCACTGCAGAAAGAGCTGCAGATCATCGACCCAGACCTCAAAATTGACCGCTCGACCCTCAGCATCGAAGGTAAGGACATTAGGGCTACTCATGACAGCAGCAGCAGCAGCAGTAGTAGCAGAGCGACTCGGCATGGCGGCGTGGGTGCGGCGGTGCGCTTACCAGTGGTGGGAGGGTAGGGTAGAGGCCGCGACTCGTGGGGCAGGGTCGTGGCGCGCTGGCAGGGTAGGGGCCGCGACAAGGCGGCAGGGCAGGGCCGCGGCTCGGCGGCAGGTCAGGGCCGTGTCAGGGCAGCAGGGCAGGGCCGCGACAGCGGGGCCGCAGCAGCGATGATAGCGGCGATCGCACCGACGGCTGCAGGCTCGACGGCGGCAGCAGAGCCACTACGGCGGCAGAAGGGGTGACGGCTGCTGCAGGCCACGGGGCCTCGGTGGCTGCTGCAGGGTAAGTGGGTACGACGACGAGGCGGGCGGGCCGTGGAGGGCTGCGACGACGGGCGGGCGGGCCGCGCAGGGCCGCGACAAAGGGGCGGGCGGGCCGCGCATAGCCGTGACGAAGGGGCGGGCGAGCCGCGCAGGGCCGCGACGAAGGGGCGGGCGGGTCTTGCAGGGCTGCAACGAAGGGGCGGGCGGGCTGCGCAGGGCCGCGACGAAGGGGCGGGCAGGCCGCTAAGGGCCGCAAAGGGCGGCTGGGTGGGCCGCTAAGGGCCGCGACAGCAGGGCAGGCCGCTAAGGACCGCGACGGCAGGGCGGGCCGCTAAGGGCGGCCGTAGGGCAGAGCCCGATGCGCGCTTTGGGCAGGGGAATTTTTTTTTTTTTTTTTTTTTTTTTTTCCAAGTGGTGGGCCCTTAAAATAAAAACGGTCCCACTAGGGAACCCGCTCTATACCATGTGAGAAAATTACGAGGAATTAGATCAACTAGGAAGCAGGTGGGTACAAATATGAAAACCTAAAAGAGTTGTACCCCATATTGTCAACCCCACTACATCCTACAATATGGTTCTGACAGCAGCGTCACGGGTAAGCCACTGTGAGCGAGTCGCACAGTCAGTTGTGTCGGGAGGGGCGAGAGAGGCTCCAGACCTGTGGTCAAACAACGAAACGCCGTCTCTAGAATCGCTCAGTAGGAACAGCTGTAAGCCATCGAGCCACGTATCGAACTGGATTGGACGGCCCTCAGGATCGAATGTGAAAACGCTGAGAGTAGCCATAGCAGGCAGAGCAGGGTGGCGCGCGAGCAGCAGGGCAGCACGCAAGCAAGGATGGCGCGACAGGCAGGGCGGCGCACAAGCGCTAGGGAAGCGCGAAAGGCAGGGCGGAGCGGCGCACGGCTAGGGCAGGGAAGCACAATCGACACGGCAGGGCGGCGGCTAGCAGGGCGGCGCGCAGGCATGGCAAGGCAGGACGGCGGCCATCAGGGTGGCATGCGGGCAGGGCAGGGCAGGGCAGCGGCCAGCAGGGCGGCGCGCAGGTAGGGCAGGGCGGTGCGTGGGCAGGGCAGGGCAGGGCGGTGCGGCGGCTAGTAGGGCAGCGCCCGGGCAGGGCAGGGTAGTGCGGCGGCTAGTAGGGTAGCGCGCAGGCAGGGCAGGGCGGCGCGCGGGCAGGGCAGGGCGGCGCGGCGCTAGCAGGGCAGCGCAACGGGCAGGGGAGCGCGGCGCGCGACCAGCAGGGCGGCGCGACGGCCTGCATGGCGGCGCACGGGCAGGGCAGGGCCGCGAGGCGCTAGCAGGGCAGCACGACGGGCAAGGGAGGGCGGCGCGCGACCAGCAGGGCGGCGTGACGGGCAGGCAGGGCAACGCGACTGGTGGGGCAGTGCAACGGGCAGGGTAGGGCGCTACGGGTAGGGTAACGCGCTACGGGCAGCGAACTATACGGTGGGCCCTAAAAACCAACCGGTCCTGGGACAGGACCTGCTCTAAAACCTTGTCAGAATACTGAACGGGAATGAATGCATTGAGATCAAAGTGAGAACAAGTACTAACCCTAATTGGGTTGTACCCCTTATGGGCTACCCCACTACAGCCTACACAACCTAAACATTATAACACTTTGACAACTCTTTCCTCTCCCCTTTACTCTTGGCACAGGATCGCTCCCGTTCCCGAACTGCTCCCATTAGTGTATAGTGTGAATAGGTCCTCCTTACTGGGTAAGGTGAGCACTGTGGCTGTCTTCACCGCCTGCTTCAGAGTATCCAGTGCCTTTTGCTCCTCCTTCCCCCATTGCCACTGTTGCTCCTCCCTTAGCAGCCTGTTCAGCACGGATGTGGTCTTGCTGAAGTTTGGCCCGAACCACCGGTAGTACCCCAGGAAACCCAGTACTACCTACGGGGAGGAACGGTTTGTGGTGTTGGCACTCGGTATAGTACCTCCACCTTCGCCTCCTGCACTCCCAAGTGCCCACCTCTGATCTCAAATCCCTGGTATTGCACCGTTCGGTTCCCGAATTTGCATTTCTTCGGGTGGCATATCACCCCCTCCCCCTTGATGGCTTTCAATGTTGCTTGCACATCTTTCATATGCTGCTCCGGCATTGCACTGAAGATAATCACGTCGTCTACGTAACACGCCACTGCGGGCACCCCTCGCATGGCACTGTCCATGGTGCGTTGGAACACGGCCGGAGCATTCCGCATGCCAAACGGCATCACTATCCACTCGTACTGGCCATCCGGTCTATGGGACGCCGTTTTCTTGCGATCCTCCTCCTTTATCTGAATTTGGTTAAACCCTTGCCTAAGGTCTAGTGTAGAGAAAACCGAGGCTTCTGCAATTTATCAAATATCTCTTCCGTGCCACTGCATAGGATAGCGATCCGGCATGGTCACTTTGTTCAACCCCCTGTAATCTCCACACATGTGTTTCGCCTGCACGTCCCCCATGATGTTCGTCCAAAAGGCTACCACCGTGGCCGGCGCATACTCCCTCTCGGACCTCTGGATAAGTTCGGCTTTTAGCAGCTCGGCGCACTTCGCGGCACACACATCGACGTCTCCTGGACTCATTCTCCACTTCCGGCGATATACGGGCACCTCGCTATTGAGCAAGATGCGCATCTCGTGCACCTTGCATCGGCCCAGCTCCTTCAAGGTAAACGCGAACGTTTCCGTGTGTTGCTTCAGCACCTCCCTCAATTCAACGGCTGCTTCTGTCCCCCGCTCCGGGCCTATCTCCCACTTTGCTTCTCCCTCCTCCTTCCTTGTCTCTTCGGCCGCTGGGTCCGCTCCCATTTCTAGCTCAATCTCCTCCACCTCCAGGGCCATGAAGGACCATCCCTCCATGATACACTCAGTTTGCCTTGCCTTGATTTGCTCCAGCTGCTGCCTCCTCTAGGCTGCTTCTCTCTCGTCTCAATAATGCTTGCTCCTTTCTAGCTCTGTCTGCACTTCCTTCGTCTTCAGGAGCATTCGGATAGTTTCAAGGATCCACGTCATCAAGTTCAGGTCCACCGCCCGCCCCAAGCTGCTCTCCTCTGCCCCTCCGTCACCTCTGGGTGTGCCGTAGCTTCCCACTTGTGCCCATCGCGAGCTCCCCCTCATTGGCAAACGGCTCGTCCCACCTTCTTGTATGAGAGTTGTAAACCATCCCCGGGCCTGGCCTTCCCCCTTCCATTACGAATCCTCGTGCGCTAGCAAAGGAGACTAGTGTCTGCCACGCCGTCCTTGGTTCCCTCAGCATATTGCACTGATACTGGCCAGGGTGGTCTTCTACCGTCACTGGTGCAGGAACACGATTGGGCCCCATAATGTCCTTCACTAGCCTGGGGTGAGGCCGCTGCATCTGAGCTAGTGAGTGCCTCAGGTACGCTTTGGTCACACCGTTCTGCCAATATCTCCTTGGCCGGTGCAATCTAGACCCTAGCTGAGCCACGTCTGCCAGCACTCCCCTTCCCAACTCCTCTTGAATTTCTTCGAACGGTCGGCGCACTAGCTCCCTCCGGTCATCTGCCATGTCTACATTTTCCAAAATGAACACCATTTCCCTCTCGCGCCTCTGAATCATCTTCAAGACCCTCTCTAGGTTTCGGAACGAATCTCCCCTGTGGTCCTCCATCCCCCTCCCTTCCCTCGCTCAAGAATAACCCTGGCACCCCCAGCTTGCTACCACCAGATCGATCGGCCCCCACGCCTCCAACTACTGCTCTGTAACATCACGCAGATCGTGCACAGTGACCTCCTCTTTGAGCGAGATCACTGTGATCAGCATCTGTTGCGGGTATTGATCTAGCAGTTTCATGGCGTGATGGCGCGCCATTTTCCTCACGACCGGGTCCTTTTTCACATTAATCCACCTCCCTACAAAGCATCTGGCCTTCAGCGTTGCCGCCAGTCCTGTGCCTATGCCCCCATATAACTCTAGTATGCAGAGAGATCCCTCCAAGCACCAGGTGCGGCTCACTCATTCCTTCATGTCAGTCGTCCTCCATCCCACTTCGTGCATCTCAAGCCTTCTCTGCCCTTCTTTGGCATACTCCTGCCATGTCGATTCATCCAGTTTGTGCGTTAGGTGTATCTCATCTGCTCTGTATGCCGCCCTCTGTTCTTGCTTCACGAACCTTACTGGGAACGTGCCCACCGAACACTTCAAATCCCAGTACCTTCTCTTGCCAAGTACAGATAGTCGCGCCCACCTTGTACAACAACTCCATGCCTACCAGGATGTCATAATCCTTGGATTGCAAAATATTACACCATAGACGTAGGCAGCATTTCTTCTCGGTCCCAGGCAGGAGGGTGATTTTCACTGGAAGCTTCGTGATAGGCATCGATTTCGGCGCTCCACCCTCCACCATCAATAGTAACATGCCCCTTTCCACCTGCTGCTCGGTTGGTCCAGCTTCATCTGCCTTGGTAGCCCTTTTCCGATAAGTACATTGTGCACCCCCATGCCTATGATCGCATGCGCCACCTGTTGATGCACATCAATGTGAGTGCATATCATCCTAATGTCCTGCCGAGTGCTCGTGCTATTCATGCGTGCATTGTTTGCATGAGCATATGTCATTGTGCATGGCTGTTATATTTATAATTTCTGTGTTTTTCTTCAAGTCTACTTGCTTGATCATGCATGATAAATCCAGAGCTTTCCAACGATACGAAGATCGCCTTATTCGAACCAAGATCGCCTCATCTTGA